GTAGCAACATGAAAAATGGTTATAAAGCAGTGCTAAGAGAAGGAGGCAGAATACAGACTTGAAACTATGATGGTAATTTTGGAATATGGAAAAATAGAAATCTTTCATTTTGTAGAGATATTGAAAGAATGGATTATTATATCAAATCCTCCAGTATCTCTGAAAAGGCATGTATATAATAAAATATACTTATGTGAGAATAATCTTGTGTATGTCACATGATGTGATTTTCAGAGTGCAGTTTCTTTTTGGAATGAGATGGGACACAGATAAATAGATAGCGATTTTTTATAGATCCGAAAAGTTATTGTTTCTGTCTTTGCAGTTGCTTTGGGCAGTGGGCTCAATGGAACCTCTTTGTTAGGAAAGTTAGAATGTTCTTGGTGTAGCTCCAGGGAGCTTCAGTTACCCAAGAAGGGCTCTTTTACCCTTGGGAGTGGGGGAAGTTTCTCCTCAACAGATGGGTGAAAAGCCTCCAAGTAGATCTGTCTGGGGTCTGGGATGAGGGAGGTCGGTGGGAGGAAGGGGAAATAAGCTTGGACCAGACAGAGAAGATAGGTAAAGGTCTAGGGGCCTGCTCAACCCATCAAATTCCTCTTCTTCTCCACTCTTGAAAGCCTCCATCCCCACTCAGATGTGGAGTGGTTAATCCAGTAATAAGTACCATCAATGTTTGCAGCAAATAACTGTACTTTTTGGTTATCTTTTTTTTTTTTTTTTGGAGACAGAGTTTCACTCTGTTGCTCTGGGTAGAGTGCTATGGCATCATAGCTCACAGCAACCTCAATCTGCTGGCCTCAGGCAATCCTCTTGCCTCAGCCTCCCAAGTAGCTGGGACTACAGGCACCCACCACAACCCTGGCTAGTTTTTCTATTTTTAGTAGAGACAGGGTCTCACTCTTTCAGGCTAGTCTCAAACCCCTGAGCTTAGGCTATCCACTTGCCTTGGCCTCCCAGAGTGCTAGGATTACAGATGTGAGGCATGCCCACATCTTTTTTTTTTTGCAAGTAACAAAACTAATAAAGAGGGCGGCACCTGTGGCTCAAAGGAGTAGGGTGCCAGCCCCATATGCCAGAGGCAGCAGGTTCAAACCCAGCCCCAGCCAAAAACTGCAAAGAAAAAAAAAAGAACTACTAATAAAGATACTCTCATTTCAGTAAATACAAAACAGGATTTATTCAGCTACATATGTATTTCTAGCTTTTTTGATAGGATCTGGAGATTCTTGGAAAGGTTTCCCCTCCTTGGATACCTAAAAGGAAGAACCTAGAGGTGAGGGCTGGGTAGTTGGATGCCTGGCACTGGAGGGTGTATGTGTGTATGTGTGTGAGACAGAGGGAGAAACTAGTGGAATCACCAGAATATGGAAAGGGTTTGTAGGGAGAGAGTAAGAATAATAGTGAGCTGTGGGGGAAGATTCAAAAGGATTCAGTTCATCAAATATTAATAGTTATTACTGAACAGTACAGATAAATATCCTGCCTCCAGGAAGCCTGCTTGCTTGCTTTTTTCTTTTTTCATCAAGCAGATCCAAGAGACAGGAAGCTTACTTACTTTATTTTTTTTTTTTTGAGACAGAATCTCACTATGTTGCCCTGGGTAGAGTGCTAGAGTGCTGTGGTGTCACAGCTCACAGCAACCTCAAACTCTTTGGGCTTAAGCGATTCTCTTGCCTCAGCCTCTCGAGTAGCTGGGACTACAGGCCCCCACCACAACACCCGGCTATTTTTTGGTTGGAGTTGTCATTGTTGTTTAGCAGGCCTGGGCTGGGTTCGAACCCACCAGCCTCCGTGTATGTGGCTGGCGCCCTACCCACTGAGCTATGGGTGCCGAGTCAGGAAGCTTACTTTCTAATGTGAAAAGATAATTCACTATGAACAATATGTAAGTAAACCATATGGGATGTAGTAAGGTACAACTGCTGTAGTCAAAAAGGGAGCTATGGAATGTGCTGTGAAGTTGTGAGTTGCAATTTTAAAGAGAGATAGGCAGGTCCTGTTGAGAAAGTGGTCCTTTAATGACTTGAAGGAGTTGAAGGAATCACCCCCAGGGAAGGGGAGTTCCAGGCAGAGGGCATGGCCAGTGCAGAGCTGCTGAGGCAGGCGTGTGCCCCAGAGGAAAGCGTAGAGGAGGGTTGATCCTGTTGGTCGCTAGAAGGACTTTAGGCTTTTACTCTGAGAAAAAAGGGATTAAAGCCTATATTATGCCCGCTTTCTGGATTTTCTTCCCAGTGTCTCATCTGGGGTGTGTATAGGTCTGACAAAGGCAAGCACCTGGGTGTGGGTGAAGGCCCCCAGAGTTCCCAACTAGTCTTTGGATCTTCCTCCCACCACCTTACTTCCCAGGCTGGAATGTGCATTCCACCCCAGTGGGACAGAAAGAGGGACTCATGAGTAGCAAGAGTCCCACAAATGTTATATACACCTGGGGGAGACAGATTCCCATAGATTGCCCTTCCCACTTCTCCTCCCCCATTCTTTGTCCTTTCTCCCTCCTCTACCCTCCCACCCTACACACACAATGGCCGGGTGGGGCGAGGAACTGGCTTCCTCTGCAGAGATCTCAATCTGGGCCCTCAGTTCCCGCCCCAGAAGTACAGGAACGGACACTCAGCCCAGCACTTCTCGCTCCAAGGAGCAGGCAGGACAGGCTGAAAATAGAAACTGCCTCCATAAAGATAAAGGTAAATTCATGGGGAGATACTGCAGAGCTCCGGAGGGGAAGTCTGAGGTGGGGGTGGGGTGTCCCTTGGTGTGAAATATAGTAGAATCTCTGTAAGTTGACCATTCAAAGGACTGTAACAAACTGGTCAACATACGGAGGTGATCAACATAAGGAACTAGGCCTACTGTACGGATACTTAACCTGTGATGCATGTTGGGTCTATGAAAATTAGGTCAACTTAAGGAGGTGGTCAGTGTAGAAAGGTGGTCAACTATGGAGGTTCTACTAGAGTAGGTTTGGCTTATACCCAGGGGATGGGTTGGAAGATGAACAGATAAGTGTTCGTGCAAGTCATGGAAGAGATGGTCAAACACGCTGTGCAGGGATACACACCATCCCTTTGCTGAGACAGGCATTTAGACACCCAAGCCTTACTGCTGGCCACATGGCTACTGCATCCTCACCCCACCCCCTTCTGCCCCAGCCCCTGTGAGGTCCCATCCACACAGCAGTGCTGGTGGAATTCGCACATATAGAACAGTCCACTCTCTGAGTTTCAGCTTTCCCCCAGATGCCACTGACCTCTGAGACCCTGGATACTGTCTCTCAGTCTTCCAGGGACCTGGTGTGCTGCGCATGTGGGATATGGTGTGGGTTGGGGGGGGTGTCCGGTTGGGAGGAGGATCCAATTCCTGTTTCCTGCCCCTACTCACTCAGCCCTGGGAGGTGACTGAGAGTGGAGGGGACTCAAGGGTGAGTGCTTGGGGCCCGAGTACCTGCGTCCCTGAGTGGGGGGTGGGGAAGGAAGTAAATGCAGGTAGTGAGTGGACCAGAATCCCTCAGGGGGCCAGTGGCTGGGGAGAAGCTGGCCAGAGGTCAAGGCCACTGTGTGGCTCACTTCACGAAGTGGCTTCCTGGCAGAATGCAGAGACCATTAAGCTTTGAGACTCACCATTTGTAGCCCCCAGCCCCTACCCTACATTATTTCTCAAGAACCTAATCTGGAGTCTGGAGGAGTCTCCTGCTGACTTCTGAAAGGAGTATGGGGGCTCCTGTTTCCTAGCCCCAACCCTACAACCTAGTTGGGATCACAGCCTCCTTCCCTGAAGGAGAAGAGAGGCTCAAGTCCCAGGATCCGGGACCTATTTGTCTTATTCTTTAGCCTGCTCTCCTGGCTACCTCCCCAGACCTCCTGAAAGGACTCAGGCCTCCACCAGGGCCCCTCTCTGTGACCGCCCCTGGAGGCCAGCAGGGATAAGAGGATGAAGGGCAGGAGAGATTGTGCTGGAGCCTCCTGGTCTCCGGGGGGTCAGAGGCTCCAGGAATCTTGATGGCAGGAAAAGGAGACTAAAAATAATCCGGAAAGGGAGAGTCCGGAGAGAGGAACTGGGAAATGGGGGGCGGAGGGCCTGCGGAATAGGGAAATGGTGATGCATCCCTGGACTTCCAGGCCGGTGCGCACGCACACTGTGCCCAGATAGCATGAGCACACATCACACATGCCCACTCAGACACTCATTCACACCACAGACTCCTCAGTGGGCTGCACACCACATGCTGTACACTCCCCCTTCCCACTGCATACCTACCTGGTGGGCACAGACAAGTATGTTTTCACTCACAGCATGCAGCCCCCCCATGGACATAACACTAGAGATAGCACATGCTCAAACTACACACGAACCTCTATGACACACACCACAGAATTTCATCAGGCATGGCTCGGCTCCTGTAGCTCAAGTAGCTAAGGCGCCAGCCACATACACCTAAGGTGGCAGGTTCGAATCCAGCCCGGGCCCACCAAAACAACAATGATGGTTGTAACCAAAAAATAGCCAGGCGTTGTGGCGGATGCCTGTGGTCCCAGCTACTTGGGAGGCAGAGGCAGGAGACTCGCTTGAGCCCAGGAGTTGGAGGTTGCTGTGAGCTGTGATGCCACCACATTCTACCCAAGGGGATAGCTTGAGGCTCTGTCTTAAAAAAAAAAAAAAAAAGAATTTCATCAGGCAGACACCACCCTGGCAAGCAGAATTCCCCTTACTGATCTTACAGACTTTCTGGTCTCCTCATCCCACAACCTGGGTCTCCATCTAGTTGACACCACCTCTCCCAGCTTCATTGTCTAACTGTGACCTGAGTGTGCCAGCAGGAAGCTTCAGGGGCCTCAGAAAATGAAACACTAAGGTGGGTGAGAGGTGGAAAAGAGAGAAGATAGAATGAGAAAGAAAGAGGGAGGTGCTCCAGCCTTCCCTCCAATTCTGAAATAACACCTTCAGATGGCCTCAGTCTACCCACCTAGGTGGCACTAAGGTGGCACTTTCTCCCTCCTCCTCAGGGGATGACTCCAGCAGAGTACCCCATTCCTTTGAAGAACTCAGAGGAAGATGTCAGCCCAGTCTCTTCCTGCAGCAACACCCCCTACCCAGAAGCCCCCTCGGATCATCCGTCCCCGCCCCCCTTCTCGACCCAGGGCTGCTCAGTTCCCAGGGCCTCCCCACAATGGCTCCTCTCCACAAGAACTTCCCCAAACCGTCAATGATGCTCCAACCCTGATGTGCACCCCTATCTTCTGGGAGCCTCCAGCTGCATCCCTCAAGTCCCCTGCCCTTCTGCCCCCATCAGCTTCTAGAACCAGCCTCGACTCTCAGACTTTCCCAGACTCAGCTTCCGGCACCCCTAGTCCAGTGTCCCGGCGCTCTATCTCCCCAGAACCTGCTCCTCGGTCTCCAGTGCCCCCACCCAAGCCCTCTGGGTCACCTCACACACCTCTACCCCTGCTCCCCACGGCTCGGGACCTGGTGAAAGATGGCTCTGCCTCAGCCCCTGGCACTGTGCGGAGGCTGGCTGGCAGGTTTGAATGGGGGGCTGAAGGCAGGGCCCAAGCAGCAGAAGCTCTGGAGCCAGGTCCCCAAGGGGGAGCCAATGTGAATGGAGAAAGAGAGGTTCCCCTCACTGGGAGTGGATCCCAGGAGAACGGTGCTCCAGGTAAGTGTGTGGTGGGGCTGAGGTAGCCTCAATCTACCCCATCATCTTCATTTTCAATGCATTGAGATTGGAAACTTTTAGGGTCTACCTTTTCAAAATGGATTTTGTGTTTAGAAAATCTGGTTTCTGTATTTCTGGGGTTTTTTTGAAGGGTGGAGGAGATCTATAGATACCTGGGACTAGTCAATGTTTAGGTTACTGGGCAGGTAAAGGATTGGAGGTGGCCTGGGTGAGGCGGGGCTGAACCCCAAAGGCTTTATTTCTTCTTAGTATACCTATTTTCTGCAGATGCTGTTCTGGCTTGTCCTCCCTGCTGCCCCTGTGTCTGCCACGCAGCCCGGCCAGGCCTGGAGCTTCGATGGGTACCTGTGGGAGTCAAGGAGGAAGGCTCCAGGGCTCCCTGCCGGGCCTCACCACTGCGGACCTCCCGCTCCCGGCCCAATCCTCCAAGCATCAGTCATCCCCCAGTTGTCCTCACATCCTATCGCTCCACTGCCGAGCACAATGTCCTGCCTCCCCTCAAGCCTCCAAAACCATCTCGTGTCAGACAGGACACTACCATCTCTGGAGACCCTCCACAGCCAGATCTCGATCTGCCTTCTGAAGATGGAATCCCAACAGGTGAGGGCCCAGGGGAGTGGACCTCCGGGTTATGAAGGGACAAGGTAGGGGTGGCCTCAAACCCAATGAACTACAAACACCAAGAGGCCCTGGGCTCTTTTTTCCTCTACCAGCTGCTGCTCTGGGGCTGACAGGAATTGTAAATCTCATAGTAACAGTCTCTGCTGGGGCTGGAATCAGGAGTCCTGGGCTAAGGACTGGAGGGGTGTTCTCTTCACTCTGCCTTCTCTCTCCAGGAGATAGTCCTGATGAAACTCCACAGAATGTTCCTCCAGCAACCATGGAGGGAAGGTACCAAACACCCCCACTCTTGTCTTCCCTTCTTTCCCCACCATGCTCCTACCTAAAGGGCAGACTGACCTGTAGGTCCAGCTAAGTCCCACCTCTGCAAAGGCAGAGGGAGAAGGGTCAGGGCTCTAGAAACAAGCAGCCTTGGTTTCTAATCCCAGCTCTGTCTCTTATTAGTTATGTGACCTCATACGTGTTCTTAATCTTTCTGGTTGTCAGAGTCCTTATCTGAGACATGGAGGTAAGCATACCGACTACTTCATGGAGTAACTGGGGTGTACTATTGGTAAAAAGTGGGCCCCATAGTAAGTGCCTGCTGCATCTTCCCTAAGGGAGGGAAGAGACTCCCTGACCTTGAGTCTCTATTGCTAATATTGTCCAAAAATCCATTTAGCAACTGCAACTATGTCTTTTGTGTTATCTAGCCTTGTTAATCATCTTAGATTCACCATCATTATCAGTGATAATTTGGCTCCATTCACTATAGTAGCATGATTTTTAGCTTGGGTTAAAAGGTGTGTAGTGATACTGTGACCAGAAGAGGGGAGACAGAGTTGCAGGTACTGGTGAGAGGTGTAAGAGTTTGCACTTGATCATGTTGAGTTTTACTGAAGAACAAATAGGGCATTCCAGACAATGGTGCTATAAGAGAGGGCTGAGCTAGACTTGGAAGTCTCTGGTACATAGGAGCTGAGATAACAGGGATGGATGTGTCCCACTTAGTTCAAGGGCTCCCCTCCAGCAGGCACCTAAAAGAACTGGGGTTGATCGGGGAGCTATCATACTTATATCCCTTCTGGTATCAGGTAAATAGCCCCCCTGGGGTACATGGGGGTCCTGGGGCTTCCCATCCCTTTCTTTCTCCACAGAGATGAGGAGGGGCTAGAGGGACTAAAGGAGCAGAATTGGGAGCTGCCCCTGCAGGATGGTGAGAGCCTCTGCACCTGGGGGTTCCTGCTGAGACCCTTAAGCAGTGGGAAAGGGTTTGTGGACCCAGGACTTCCCTGAGGTGCTATGTCTGCCCTCTAGAACCTCTGTACCAGACCTACCGAGCAGCCGTGCTGTCAGAAGAGCTGTGGGGGGTTGGTGAGGATGGGGGTCCCTCTCCAGCAAGTGCTGGAGAAGCTCCCACCTTTGCAAGGCCCCCGGGACCTCGAAACACCCTGTGGCAGGAGCTTCCTGCAGTGCGGGCCAGTGGTCTCCTGGATACCCTCAGCTCCCACGAGAGGCGCATGCAGGAGGTGGGCACATTTGGGGTTGGGCTGGGTGGGCCAGGCATAGGGGCGGAGGGTGGCCAGGGTTCCAGGGTGGTGCTGAGCTGGGCTTTCCACTACTGCCTCGTTCTGCTCCCTAGAGCCTATTTGAGGTGGTGACATCCGAGGCCTCTTACTTGCGTTCCCTGCGGCTGCTGACCGACACCTTCGTGCTGAGCCAGCCTCTCAGGGACACGCTCACCCCCCGGGATCACCACACACTCTTCTCCAATGTGCAGCGAGTCCAGGGAGTCAGTGAGCGGTCAGTTGGGTCCTATAGGCCCAGGAGATATGGCCTCGGGCTGCTGAGCACCCCCTTACCTATCTCCCAGGCCCAGTGGGCCCAGCTAATTCCCAGCTCTTTGCTCAAGAACCAGGGAGACCTGGCTCTCTGCCCCACTCCAGCTTGCTTCTCTACTCCTTCAGGTTCCTGGGGGCATTACTGTCTCGTGTGCGCTCTTCCCCCCACATCAGTGACCTGTGTGATGTGGTACACACCCACGCGGTGGGCCCTTTCTCAGTGTATGTGGATTATGTGCGGAACCAGCAGTATCAGGAAGAGACCTACAGCCGCCTTATGTGAGTGTCCTAGAGGTGGGGGAAGCTGGGGTGAGCAGAGTAGGGCTCAGGCCATAGCAGGCTTAGTCTGTTTCTGCAGGGACACGAACATGCGCTTCTCCGCTGAGCTGAGGCGGCTACAGAGCCTCCCCAAGTGTGAGCGGCTCCCGCTGCCATCCTTCCTGCTACTGCCCTTTCAGCGCATCACCAGGCTCCGCATGCTGCTGCAGGTATTCCTGGCACACAGCCCTTTTTTTGTGTCCCACCAAGTCCATTAGAGAACTCCCTCACCACCAGGGCCTCTTGTCCAGTGATCACCATTTTTTTTTTTTTTT